GTAACATGCGGCAATTCAAAGTTGCCCCGCCGTTTCTTGCCAGACATGGGCTCACTGGATGATCGTGTGGCTCTGCTTTAAGCCTAGAGGCGCTAATGCCGCTAATGATGCATGAGCGAGCAACAGCAACAATTTGCAAGGCACTTGCATTCTCTGACCCCTGGTGCGAACTCCATCATGCTGTTCTTAATTGATCAGTATTTCAAAGCCAGTGCATGGAGAGCTTTAGACTCCAAACTGAGGCGGCTGGCAGCGAGGAGACCCGCGGCGAACTTGAGGACGCTTTGCCTTGGCAGCTGCATCAAGGGTCCCAAAGGCCTACAAAGCAAGGGCCGAAGAATCAAGATTTTGGCCAGCTCACACACGTCAGCTCGTGGCCAGGGTCTGTGCGCTCCGCGGACAAGGGTATGGCTACGCTGGAAGGCCTGCTTGCTGTTGTGGATTCCTTTTTACCCTACTTACATAGAGTATGGTTGCCATACGAGGTCTGGATTCCTTTGTACACTACTTCGATGGAGAATGCTTGGAGCCCAAAATATCTTATAACTCATCGGCCAGCTTAGCCCGTACCGTCAAAAGAGGAGCTATCACAACGGGTTGCTGTGCTTGCAATGAATGCTCCAGGGAGACTTGCATTTGCGATCCGCATTGCGTTTATTCACTAAACCCTGGAGCAGTCATCAAAAGCGGGATCTCAGAATTCCCTTATAGATGTCTCAGTGCACTTCACGGAGCTCAGGCGTCCCCCTGGCCCTTGGTGTCACCACTGGAGGACTCACCGCCAGTGATCTTCTTCAGCAGCGCTGCCAAGTCTGACGATGATGACGCTGTCCTGCCAGTCCTGCGACCCTTGCCAGATGTGGCGCCATCGCCTCCTGGATTGGGCGCGCCTTCGCCCGAACCTTCTGTGCCACCCTTGGCTCCAGCTCCTGGGCCAGCAGCATCGCCTGCGCCCCTTTCCCCGGATCCCTGTGCATCAGGCCCACCTGTTTTGCTCTTGCCCTTCCCTGTCCTGCCAGCCTTCCTGCCCTTGCCCTTCGCACCCTTCTTGTTGGGGGCCGCCGCATCACCCTGGCCCTGAGAAAGGAACTCAAGCTCCGAAACAGCCACCGCACTGTACAAGCTCTCACAGGAGGGATCACGCTGGAGCTCAAAGACGCGATCCTGGAGCCTCTTCTGCAACATCTCCACATGGGCATGAGTGTTGCAGAAAGCAACGTACTTGACATTGAGCTGGATGGCGGCCAGTGCCAGGTTGTCATTCTGAGGAGTCAGGTCCGTGACCGAAGATGCGAGATATCCATGGAGCATCTCTTTCCAAAAGTCCACGGAATTGCCATGCCAGCTCACGGGCTCCAAGTCCGTGGCAGCACGTTTCTGGGGCATCAACTCTGCGTCAGGCAGCACGCTAGCCTTCCCTCCCTGTTCTCGCAGAGTGTCCCCGAGCAGCTCCTTCTTCTCAGCGATGGTAAGATTCCAATCTTTCGTAGGGTCCTGCATTTGTCAGCCAAGTGCACAAAACTGGGTTCAGAGCCTGAGTTGTATGTTGTTTTTAACACATACATACATTTGAGAGTACGGTAGGTAAATGCTATTACAGCCCCTTGCCTCCAATGTGACCGGCCCGATATGATTGAAACGATTTGAGCTGTTCTCGTACTTCAGTCGCTGCCGAGGCTGCAACTTCAAAGACTCCCGGCTGATGATGACCGCCTGTTCGACAATGTCCATGTCGAGCCAATTGCTGACCCTGGTGCGGGTCCGCCTGAGGAATGTAGATTCCTCGTACGAAATGTACAACAGCCGGCGACTCTTCTGGAGCTTGCGATCTGGCAGCTGGAAAATCTTCTCAAAGATGCTGTGATTGTCACGTTTGAAGGCGTCAAAGAACAGGAAGATCGTGTTGCCATTGATCTCCAAGACATCCTCCTCCGGCTGCCCAGAGGCCAAGTACTCCTCGCAACCAGCTCTCAGGGCGGCACCGACTGATGCAGCCATGTAGCTCTGCCGGTTGGCGGGCATGCGGATGGCCGGCTGTGTCTTGGACTCACCCTCCGTCTTGCCATCATAAACCACCAAGTTGAAATGGTGCTCAGCAGGCTTCTGCATGAAACCAGGGGACTGCCGGAGCATCTCAATCATCTCATCTTGGGACAACTTGGCGGGCCGCACCATGAGCTCCACGCAGTTTCGGACTCTCGAGGCAGCAGCGGCTTGCCACCTCGCCATGGCCTCGCGAGACTCCTCGTCCATCTCCGCCATGGGATCATCCTCTTTGGATTTTCCCGCTTCTTCAGGATCTACTTCCATTTGCGCTGGCTCGGCGTCATCAGCCTTTTTGGGCATACTTTCTGACAAGAGCTGGTGGGCGGCATCATGGACTGCCTGAAGGCCAGTAGCGATGGTCCCATGCTTCAAAGCATCCACAGCCGGCTTCGCCATCTTCATGCAGTTCCTGCGACTGCATTTCTGCGCCAAAAAAAAAGGAACGCATCTATAAAAATGAAGGCCCAGCCTCAGAGATGTGTCATGCAGCCGATCGAAGATTGCGGCCTCCACGAAGTCCAGGAATGTCGCCTGCACTGGAAGCTGACCATGTTTAGGGTTTATGGTGTAGGGTTTGGGGTTTAGGGTTTAGGGTTAAGGGCGCAGTCTCAGCTCCGTCCTCGTGCTTCTGCAGGGAGCTGCGCCACGTCGCTGCTTCAGGAGTGCCTTGATACATTGCGGCCTCATTGTTGCGGTACCCAAAAGCTTTCCGGAAAGACTCGACATCATTCAGATGCCTGCGGCACTCGGCAACAAAATCCGTGTTGAACAGGCTCATATTCTCAGGGGCCAGGAGCTCCTGCAGAACACCATACTTGTAAGCAAACAAATCGCACGGCGTAAAGGTAGCTGTATCGACTAACTTGTTCTTGGTGATGTCTTCCAGCTTCAGGGCGCCGGCTCGTCGCATGTCCAGAACGGACTGGAACACCCACAGCAACCTTTGCCCCGTTGGCTTCTGACTGCCAAGAGTCATGGCATTCATTTGCAGGATCGTTTGAAACGGCGAGTCCGCAGCACCATAGAGAAGCTCAGCTTGATGCACGACTTGAAGCAAGCCTGTGACCGTGTTCAATTTCTTCCACAATGTGATGGCTGTCTCCACTACAGTCTTGCTGGGGATCTCCGTGTCTTTCGCCCAATGGCAGCTCTTGAACCAGTTGTGCAACTTGTCCGCCCCAATCTTGCCTTTGTCCTGCAGGCTGCGAAACACAAGAAGCACACCTACAACTTACAACATCCCACTTTTTTAAGTCATCCCAACTGTCCGACTCAAGCTCATTCTTGCGCGAGATGATGAGCACTAGCATGGACAGCGCAGACCGCTTCACGGCCCGAGAATTGTCAAGCAAGCGTTCCCGGATGGAAATGGCTTCCTTGAGAATGTCCGAGGTGTTGGTCTTGGGCATCAAGTTGTAGCGGCAGCTCAGCATGAGGCGCCTGTATTCAGCCTTCTCCTCCTCTGTGCTTGCTTCACTGGCGGCGAAGAGTAAAGCCCACACAGGCTCCTCGGGAGAAATTCGCTTGAGCCGACTTGCTCCCTCCATGATGTTGTCACCATGGTCACCGGAAACAAGCGTGACCTCGAAAGATAGCACAGCAGGGGGTCCTCGACCGTAGAACTGTGTAACGAGCTCCTGAATGCCTTGCGCATTGACAGGTGTCCGAGGAAAGGGCCTCCACCTGAGGTCTTGCAAGAAGAGACTCCCAGTGAACGAGTACATGCCATCTCGGCTCTGCACTTCATCCCAAGCGTTTTGGACAAAGCCGGCACCAGAGCCACCCTCAGAAATGGCAAGAGATGTGGTATCCTGGATGTTTTCATACATGTCCAGGACTTTGGAGATCATGCCCTCAAATTTTTTCGTAAAGGCACTGTTGAACTCCTGGGCCTGGTCCAAAGCATTGTTCTCTGTCGGCATGCGCTGATCACCGCAGCACCAACGCTTCGCAGGTCCACCTGCAGCCTGCTTGGCAGCAGCTCGCTTGCCTGCCCAGGAGGCAGATCTTTGACCCCTTAAACCCTAAACTCTAAAACCCTAAACCCCTAAACCCTTAAAGCCTAAACCCCTGCACACCCGAAACCCTAAGCCCTCAACCCTAACCCCTCCCATGGTTTGGGGCTCAGGGCTTCCCGACCTTTTTGAAACAAAACCCACGATCCCGGGATCGTGCCTGCTGACATCAGCAGGGAGAGACGACACGGGGAGGCCGTAAAGGGCACTTGTCTTGCTGGTTGAGTCCATCGGAGTCGGGTTTACAAGGTTTGAGGGTTATAGGGTTATAGGGTTTCAGGCTTATAGGGTCTAGAGATACAGGGTCATAGGGCTTTAAGGGTTTAGGGGTATAGACTAGGGTATTATAGGGTCATAGGCTTTTAGGCTTTAAGGGCTTAAAGGGCTTTAGGGGTTTAAAGGTTCAGGGTTTAGGGCCTAAAGGGTTTTAGGGCTTAAAAGGTTTTAAGGGTCTTAGGGCCTTAGGGTTTAGAGGGTTTCAGGGTTTAGGGAAGGGTTTAGGGCTTTAGGCTTTAAGGGTTTAGGGATTTAAGTGGTTTAGGGTTTAGCGTTAGGGGGTTTTGAGGTCTTACCCCTAAGGAGGGCGACTGCTGTGCTCCTACAGCGACCGAGCACCGTGCCTGAACCTCCACCAAGACCAGCCTGCAAGCGCTGGGGAGCGGGTTTCCAAATCCGGCCCGGGTCGGAATTTGGAAAACCGCTCCCCATTAAGTGTAAGGTTGGATGAGGCATGAGGGCTGTCCTAAGCAAAGGTTGCACATACCGATGTTTAGGCGTCTCCCTCTAGGAAGGGAAAATCCTAAGGGATGATGATTCAAGGAGCACTGTATGAGGGAAGGGTCGGTCTGGAACGCTCATGCTTCAGATACCTTGCCACTCTTCAACATCCTGAGGTTAGGCGGTTCCTTCCCCGGAAGGCCGCCCTGAAGGATCAGTACCAAACACCTTGACTAAGGACAGCCTGGGCCCAGGTACCAAGCAGACTGATCAATATCAGATGGGGAACAGGAAGCACGCACACACACACACACGCGCGCGCGCGCGCGCGCACACACGACAACGACAACGACAACGACAACAACAACAACAACAACAACAACAGCAACAACGACAACAACAACAACAACACCAACAACAACAACAACAACAGCAGCAACAGCAACAGCTCCTACTCCGACTCCTCTTACTACTGCTCCTCCTAGGTCAGGGTGCTTAACCATAAACCCTAAACCCTA